CAAATAACAGTAATCCAACAGTGCAACGTCATTTTAAAAATACATTTAAAATAAGGATAAAAACGAGAATATTATCAGTAAGAGTAGTAACCGCCTAAACATGCAGTAATTGTAAAAATGCAAAATTTTTAGTCAAATATCGGGAAAATAAAAACTAACCATAGCTCATGTGATTCGATACCTAAGCCCAAATACTCAACTTTGTACAAATTCACGGATTTTTTTCCCCTCAGCATCGGCAGCTGAAGATGAAAAAAAAAGTATCGGATTGAGATCTGATATTCCAAGTTGCAGGATCAGTATAGGTATCAGACACGTACCAGTTGTTTGAAGCCTTTGAAAATGTTCAGTGAAAACAAACGGCTCTAATCAAACATATTTTATGTTTTAGTTTGGATGTGACTTTGTGCTTGTGTGTGTGTCTACAGCCAGCACCTCCTACCAATGGTACTCGTGGGGGCCTCCCAATATGCAGTGTCGCCTGTGCGCCTCCTGCTGGACTTACTGGAAGAAGTACGGAGGCCTGAAGATGCCCACGAGACTGGACGGAGAGAGGCCAGGACCAAACCGCAGCAACATGGTACACACTGGTGCACAGGACGTGCACTGCTGTGTGTGTGTGTTTGACCAGATATTTAGGTTTAAGCTGCAAAACCAAACAGCAAAAAAAATATCTGTTAAAAATGTTTTTTTTTCACATATAAAACTACCTGATAGATACAAATCTGTATTGATTAAATTATAAGTCAAATTTAGCATAGGAACAGAAGATGTTTAAACGTATACAATACTTAGCCTGAAGTTAGCTCAAAGTTATCCTGAGTTTGTTAATATGAATAAAGATAAGCATTGAAAAGTCTAAAATTTTGATGAAAAACTTCATGCAGTAGCTCAATGTTCACCAGAAAAGATAAATGTAGATTTCCATAATACCAGATATATACTGCAAGATAAAATCTAGCTTATCTAGAATAATTAGAAAAAGTGATTTAAAGATACTCTATTTATACATGGCTTTCAGATTAATAAATTCCCGTCCATTCATGTGACATCATTTTACCCTGTTCACCTTATCTAGAATAATTAGAAAAAGTGGTTTAAAGATACTCTATTTATACTTGGCTTTCAGATGAATAAATTCCAGTTCATTCATGTGACATCATTTTACCCTGTTTCTGTCTCCAGAGCCCCCATGGTTTGCCCCTGCGCCACAGCGGTAGCCCCAAGTTTGCGGTCAAGACACGACAGGCTTTTTACCTTCAGACCACCACCGTGACACGGATGACGCGCCGTCTCTGCCAGGACATCATCAGACCACGGTTCCTGGCCAGGCATCCGTACCTCCCTGTCAACTCAGCAGCCATCAAGGCAGAGTGTAAGAAGCTGAATTATTACAACAAGTTTCATTTGGTTCTGATTTTATTCATTTATTTTTTTTCTTTTTGTTGCACTGATTGTGAACAGGTGCTCTGCGGTTGCCAGATCGGCCAAAAAAGCCTTTGCCACTGAAACCTGTGGAACGTAAACCTCTGGAGTCTGTGGTCAGATACTTAGGTGAGATTTAAGCACTAAACTAATGTAACTTGTAAAGAGTGTATCCTTTATTTTTGTCCCCACTTCAACACAGTCTTGTATTCTCCGTTCCTCTCCTTGGGTTTTTAGAAGCACATCCCTGTCCAGTGAAGCCGCTCCCTCCGTCTCGTGGAGGTTGCATCTCCACCAGTAGCCTGACGCCCATCAAATCCTCTCCCATCCTCAACAACGGTTCCCCCACCATCCTAGGAAAACGCTCCTACGAACAGCACAATGGACTGGATGGTAAGTGGACGGTGACATTTCTGTGGGTCGCACTTTTTTTTTTTTCTGCAAGGGTCCTCCATTTTTCTTTTAAATAGGGGTATTGTCCAGAGGCCTACACCCATCCCCACATCACCACTGTCATAGCTGTTGCTTCAAAAAATTTATGTTAAACTCTACAAATAATTACAAATCACTGCAACCTCACCCACGTGGCACATTATAATTTTATTTGCCTTGCAGGGCACCCTGTAATAGTTCTACGCCCCCTACCTTGGGAACCACTTTGTTAATATTTTTACCTGTTCAAGTCTTATGATATAATCAGACTGTACTTATTTAGATAAAAAAAAGGTCCTGGTCCAACGCTGCCTGATTTCATAAATCTGCGTCACTGACATAAATTTAAACAAAGGATTTTAAACACATTCAAGTGCAAAACAATTGCAGGAGAGGGGTAAATAAACAACATACAGACAAATAGATATGTTTTTTATTATTGATTTTTTTTGTTCCTCAGTGGAGAATATGCACTTATTAGTCATTTTATTTCCCTGTCTCTGTTTGTGGCTGTGTAGAAATTACTTTTTTTTTTTTAATGATAATCACTGAGGTTTAATGCAAAAAAAAGTGTCAGCAGTAGTTCCATCTACCAAAGGGAGGTGCTGTAGAGAAAGTTTGGAAACCGCTGATTTTTCTGTTTTCTTCAAGATGTCAACTTTTCAACGATACAGAACCTACAGGTTCTGCTGCTGCTGTTTCCTCATTAAACAGTGTAGGAATCAGTTTCTCTCCCCTTTTATTTTAGCCATTTTACTGTAATCGCTTGTACTCATTTTTATTATGCACCTTTGCGTCTCAACTTCATTAGAAAAACGGCACATGATCCGACTGGATTAAACAAACGCTGTTTGGTTTTAACGGCGTTTGTTTCCCACCTATACAAACTCATCAACTTAAATGATGTAACGGCCTCTAAATGAGAACAATTCAAGTTTTTCAAGAGTTTTGTGGCAACAACACACTCAGAACATCCACTGCAGTAAAGTTGAAGAGTTTGCGAGGTTCTTATTTTTTGGGTTACGTCCCAATTTTTTCCCCTGTGAAAGTAGATAAAGAGAGGGAAGGGAAGAGACAGGCTGAGAGATCAAGACGGAGAGAGAGAGAGGGGATCAGATCGGCCTTGCTGCTTTAGCTGGAGGCTACAGTCCACGTTGTCATGGCAACTGCTGAGAGGAGGAGATGGAGGAGGACGAAGGAGAGGAGGAGTTAATCCCGAGGGAGTAGGTTCTAGGAACAGGATATTTTTTTAATTTAACGGTGTGTATTTGAATGACTCTTTTCTGGTCCTGGTGATTATCAGGAGCCACACAAGGTTACACATCTCTCCCAGGGACACATTGGCATGTAGGTGAGCAGAGAAGAGGACCAAACCAACAACCGATTGATGTCCCTACTGACTTTTAAATTTGTGATTTTTATTTTTATTTTTTTAAGGTCTCTCCCAAAAAGAGTTGTTAATGAGGACAAGCTGTGGTCTGTTGGTAAAAGTTATAACTGATCACTATGTCACAAATGATCACGATTGTTGAATTTAAAATTTTTTTGGTTGGTTTGTTGTTTCGAATATTTTTAGAACCATGTAGGAATTGGTCAAATGGAAATTCGATATTGAGTTTTTTGTGGTGGGACTCAAAAATACAAAACTATTGAGAAAGACAGAATTTCATACCGAAAGCAGCCACTAGAGGGCAGTGGACTATATCTTTCAGTGGCACTGGACTGAGTCTGACTGAACTCATACTCTGACTCTTCTTCAGGCTCCAAATCTAAAACCCTGACTCCTCAGTGGGACATCATGGCCAAACGGATGAGCGAAGCCGGACGACCCTCGGCTTCACTGCAGGACGAGATCCATGAGCTGGACTGAGGAGTCTGTGGGACGACCAAGTCCACGTCCAGCGAGGTGAGAAACCAAAGGGGTTAGTTCATTAAAATAGTTAAAAAAGATTAAAGATTTTTCAAATACAATGTTTAAGAACGTTGACTGGGTGGGGCAGGACCAGAACTTAGAAAATATGTTCATATATTAGGAGCCAAAAATGCATTAATGCACTTAACTGTATTTGTTAAAATACTTCAGTGCTTTAAAATGCAATGCTCTATTTTTGGTCAAAATTAATTGAAAACTTTAATTCTGTTTGTAAAAACAAGTCAAACTTGGTATTTAAGGAGCAACTCCCAAAGATTTACGATTTGTCAGTTCTACATGAGTCTTTATATTATTACTACTACTACATAATACTGAGAGCTAAATTGTACACTGAAATTTAGCAGAAAAATGTCATTTTCAGCCATATTTTCAAACGCTGTTTACTGTCCTTCATTATTGTCCATTTTCCACTAAATGGAATCAAAATGAATTAAAGGATCAATTGTCACATTTCTGATGATCATTTTCCTTTGTATCTTTGTTTCTTTCCAGCAGAAGATAAAAAGGAAAAGTTTTTTTTTTCCCACAGAGAGGGGAGAGGAGGCAGCTGAGAATAGATGATGCTAACTACGTTTCATCAGCTGAAGAAGAAGAAAAAGAAGAAGAATCAATGATAATCCGTAACTCTGGTCCAGCAGAAGACTGACTGTACAGGACTGTGTTTAGTACTTACAATTCTCTGTCATTGTAATTATTGTTATTATTATAATTTTTTTTTTACCAACTATAACTCATCATATTGTTTGTCGATCAAACGATGAAACAAAAAGTTTCATATTAAAAAAAAATAACGCTTGCTTAAACTTTGTGGAGGAGAGTGGAAGGACCGTAACGTTAGCCTCTGCTGCTTCTTCTCTGTTTGTTCATCTGTCTTTTCTTTAACCATTTAGAAGGTAAAACAGAAAAAAAATATCAACAAGGAGATGCACTTTCATTTCAGTGACTTTGTCTCAACTCCTTGTCTTTGCTTTGGTTGAATTTGAATTGGAATGATTTTCCTCGGGGAGGGGTGGAATCTTTAGGTTTTGAGAGCCGGGCCTTTGTTGTTTGGCCAGAGAGGTTTAACTTATTGAGAGAGACTCGCTGGTTTTTTCTACCTTTTTCACACGTTAATGCATCTATGCTTCAATGATAATATTAAAAAGGACAATTGATTTTCCCTGCTGCTCCTGGTCTCTGTGCACTGAGGCAGAAATGTTTCTCTCTTGTTCTTTTGATGTGCTCCTGTTTCTGACTTGCACTGACCCTGATATTAGGGTTTACCCAGTTGAGTCCTGGGTTTTGAGCCATTTGATTATAGCGTTTTAGGTCCTTAATTTCTTTCTAAAGCCATTGTTTTGTCCACATTTTTTTTAGAAAAAAAGATCAGATTCCCCCTCTTGCCACAAGAAGCAGCACAAGTACCAGCGATGGTATACGTACCATAGTTTTAGAACCACTAGTGTAGTCACTAAAAGTATCTCACTGTGTATTATTAGTGATGTCAAGTGCAGTATTAATGGTAGAAGTGTATTTTCAGTAATACAACCCATTTGAAATGTTTATATTTTTCCCCCGTATGATTTAAGAAATCAGGGTTGAAACATGAGGTTACACCCTGGACGGTTCAACAAGGGATAACCAAGCACTGACACTCACATTCACATTCACACTTTTTGTCAATTTGAAGTGAGTTGTATCCTGGTATTGAACAGGCAACCTCCTTGCTTTAGGCAAACCTTAACCACTTAAAAGAAATGCAGGATATATTGTCAAAAACCCCAAGATACACAGAGCTCATTATTGAGATTATAAGAATATTTCTACTGCTGGATTTTAGTGTCTAGAACTATTCACAGTACCAGTACTATGTGTATTCCCACCGCCATCAGGTCCCATGAACTGAGTAAAAGCACCAGAACTTTTCTTTTAACTCTAAAATAGCTCTTGATTTAAAGGTAGGAATGCTGAGCCGAGGGCATTGGGTGACTGACCTCACTGATCCGTCGTCCTACTCTCATGTGTCTCCAAACACAAGAGCAGCGACAGAAGGACAGAGGGTCATTGTTGATGCAGGTGTCACTGGATATGTGTGAAGGTTCACACCTCAAACTGCTGAAATATTCATCGGACTGACGTTAACCCACGGAGAACAGACCATGTCACGACACAGGTCTGGAGCTTTGACCGTAGTCCGAGTCCGAGTCCAAACAGGAACCAGGGACAATGGACGTCTGGTGGAGCCATGTTTGTGTGTTTTCTGTTTATAGCATCACATACATTCAATACCTATAGTAGGAAGTGTGTATTTTCTGCACTAAAGTCCTCACATGGGGTGGACTATTGTGGATAATAACAAAGAGCTCAAGGCCTTGTGACTGTGGTCGATGTTCTCTGACCCACAGAGTAAAAGGTCAGGGTCAGGGAAACAGTCCTTGGAAGGTCTGAAGTGTTCACTTCAAAGAATTCTAAAATAATAACATCATAGTTATGATTAATCATGTGACTCATCCAAGAAATTAACTAAGAGTGAGCAAAAAATATATAATGGAAAAACACCAAAAATTCATAGAAATTAAACTTGGAAATACAAAATGTAAATTGTGTAATTTCCTCTTTGACTACAAATTTGTTAATTTACATTTCCTCTTTGACTACAAATTTGTTAAACATTGCCTCGGCAAAAACCTATATAAATAGCTGAAAAGACCTTTATTGATAAAGACTAAAAAAAAAAAAAAAAACAAATAGCTGAAATGCCATTTATTGATAAAGACTAAAAAAACAACAAAACAAACTAAAGGTACCATCAAGGTAGCAAAAAGTAAGCCATACATTTAGTTTTTAAAAAAACAACAAAACCCTATTAGTTAATTAAATAATAATGCTAAAGAAAGGATCTAATGAAAACATAAAAACAAATATAAATATATATATAATAAAAGCAAAAAAAGGACAAAAACACTAATAGATATTGCAGAGAGTCTACTTTTGTAGAGCATATTAATGACAATGTAATGGTGTCATAATTTCTCCATAGTGTCTCCTGTTGTCTTCACAGCCCATAATCATTAACTGGTCCAGACCTGTGGACACTGGTCACAGCCAATGTAAACATGCCTGGACTAATCAAACCTGTTGAAACACACTGTACACCTGTAGGCAGTCACATGACAAGTCACATGACCGTCATCAGTGAACAGGTGATGGTTGAACCAAAGAAGAAGAATCTCTGGCTATTTCTGGACTGAAGTCATAGTTGGCTACCTGTTACAGGGCTGATGTTCTTCTGTCTTCTTATTATAGACACGTGGACATGACTGAATGATAGAACTAATCACAGCTAAGCAAATCTGAGCTATTAATATGCATATTGAGCTGTTGCTGAGTTTACTTTAAGGTATTCTGGCTACCTTTTAGAAAGCTCTTTTTATTGCTAACCTTAACTCTCTCTGTTACATTTCAGACACTTTTGGTTAACTTTTTCAAAGTTCTGTGTTTCAGAAAGTTCTAACAATCTTGGAGCCATGTTTTTTTGAGAAAGTTCTAACAATCTTGGAGCTATGTTTTTTTTTTGTTTAACAAATTAGTTTTGGGGGGGGGGGGGACTTCCTTCGTTTGTAATATAGAGCACCGTTTGTTTTGTTGTAATTGGTTAGCTTGTAGCTAATTGTGGCTCCATTTTAGGCCAATTTATCTACATTTTATTCATCTTATTCTGGTTCTTTGGATTATTTTCGTCTACATTTTTAATCTTATTCTGGTTCTTTGGATTATTTTTAGCTAACTACAGTCACCTCTGGTTAACTTTTAAACAGTTTTAGACACATATAAGTTACCCTGTGGCTATAGTTAAGGTTACTACAGTTTTACCTATTGGTGGACTTATGGGTAATTCCAACTGCTAGTTGTTTTTGTTTTTGTTTTTTTGGAGTGGTGTTGAACTACGATTTTTAGCAAATTAAAAAACTGCAACGAAAACGCTGTCAACAACAACAATAATAAATGCTGTAGTCGTGTCTACTGTTGATAGTTAATAGTGTTCTTTGCTCTGAGCTCGCTGGTGAACAAATGGTTAACTGGAGATGCTAAAGCTGAGAGTGTGTTTCTGAGCATGTGCTGCTGCAGCTGCTGCTGCAGTGAAGTAAAATGGTCAGTTCTCAGTATCCAGTGCAGCAGAGACACACTGGAGGGGCAGGAGGAGAACCTGGCCTCAGCAAGGTGACAGCAGGAGAACCATCCTCCAGGAGAACCCTCTTCCAGGAGCAGCACGGTCGCTGTGGACCCTGATCTTCAGAGTTTTGACACTGCAGAGGATCATCTGAAGGTAAAGACATGAATGACTGCACTGTGGATGATTCGTAGCTGTTTGTTAGAGAAGACACGATGATGACATGTGTCCAACAGGTTCCACTTAGGTTTCCGACTTAATAATATCACGTGTCTTTTTGGATTTTCTTTGCAATTTACGCAGTTTTATGCAGTTTTTCGTGAGTGCATGCGGAATCTCATTGGGCCAAGCGCGTTTTTTAAACTAAATCTAAAATATTGACTAAGAAACCCAAGTATATAAAACTGTCGAACATTATTTATAATCCTTAAACGGTTCTTATTAATTCGGCACGTGTTTTTGCACATACATTTGCACACACACTTGCTATAATATGGATAGCTTGCCTTGATAGCCGCTGTGAGGACACTGTCTGCAGCTTGTTTGAGCCTTGTGAATGCAGCAATGTTTAGTGACGGGTTTGAACGAGCTTCCGGGTATAATGTCTCATTTGATGATGTTTGTGTTTATTTTTACATTTGATTTAAAAGTTATTAGTTTTAAACTGTAAACCGCACTGCTCCATAATAATAATAATGAGGATGATGATGATGATGATGATGCGGCGCTGTCTCAGCAGCGACGCCTGCGCAGTGTGCGCAAACACGCAAGCTTCTGAGTATCAAGTAACGGGAATTAGATTTCTTTTCCTAAATGTGTTATTTTAAACTTGTCAAGAAATCGATTTCCGGCTGTTGATAATCTTTCATTTTTATTCTGTAGAAATGCGGTGCCTGGATGAGACACTTGGTGGGCGGGGCTTAAAGGCAGATCATGCTGCAACTTCCTAAAAAATAAACTAATAGAAACAAAAAAATAGAATTACTAAAAATAAAACCCCCTTAGCTAAAGTTTTCAATGGGCCACTAGGAGTGATTTAATTTTGCAGCAAGTCTTCCCTTTGGGATTCTCCCGTTTTCCTTTGTTTTGCCTCTGAAACTCAGTAGATGGCAGTTGATGGGCATCAACCTTTTTTATCATAAATTACTCCTTACTCCTGAATTCTAGAATAAAAAAATCTCTGATGGAAACACCACTATAGGAAAAACTAAAAAGCCAGTCATTTTTCAATAAGGTAGTTTTTTTTAAATCGTCTTAGATCTTTTTGACTGATCTCGGATGGAAACACCACTATAGTAACATTTTTCAATAAGGTAGTTTTCTTAAATCGTCTTAGATCTTTTTGACTGACCCCCAAGTGCATTATATCTTGTAGTAAAATTTCAGATTTCTATTAAACCCTTCAAAGTAAATTTAACTCAGACTGGGGCATTTCAATTATTTTTCGAAAAAAAAAAATTACATTTATAGGAAAACAGGACAAAACAAAATGAAACTGACCTGTGACTGAAGCACTTCTATTCTAAACAACGTCCATCTGACATCAGCTCTGTTGACATTAAATACTGTCCACTGATGAAACCTTCAGCTCCTCCTTTACACCCTCGCCAACACACACACACTGCCGTGCACACACTGGCACAGTGTCTCCCTGTGAAAAGCACTCAGCCTTCGCCTGACGTCTTCATATTTTATTTACTGAATCGCAGCAGATTTATTGCAACTTTTCTCCATAGCGATCGATAAAACAAAGACAGTTGATGGTGGTGTTGTAGTTGAGGAATTTAAAAATTGATTGTGGCGACTGAGAAAAGTGGCCTCAGTCAGAGTCGTCTCTCTGTTAGAGGACATAGATCCCAGTGTGGACCAGACAGTCTGCAAATAAAAGTCCAAAGAACGCACACGGAAAAGTTTCAAATAGAACATTGGTGCTCCTTACTTATTACTATTATCATGGACTTAAGTTTTTTTTTTTTAAAAAAGTCAAAAAATTAAAAAAAATAAACTAATGCATGATAAAAGTATAATTAATTAAATAATAATTAAAAGAAATGAAACACAATTTTGCTCAAAATGTCAAACAATTAAAAAACACAAACTAATACATGATAAATGTATAATTAAAAATAATATTTAAAAGAAATGAAACACAATTTTGCTCAACTTTCTCAGACTTTAATGAAACATATCCAGCAGTTTGACAGTTTGACCACTTGTGATGTACAAACCATGTGTGTTGGTGATCGTAGTTGTGATGTAGGTGGTTGTTATGTTGATATAGAGCCAAATCCTACTGCCCACCATCCATCCATTATTAATAATGCACTCTTCCATCAAAAACAATAGCAGGATGATGATGATGATGATGATGATGACAGTAGGGAGGAGATGAGGACGAGGATTTAACTTGACAATGACATTTATAGTGATGTTGACAGAGATGATGAAATTGGTAATGATGATGGAAGTGATGTTGCTGATAATGTGATGATGAAGACAATATTTTTCCCGTTTCAGCTGCAAAAACATTTCAAATCTGCAGCTCAGCAGCCGTGACCCACACGTTTGGTCTCATCATTAAACTGAAGACTGATTGGAGTGAGTGACTTGACACGGTGTGGGCACGTCATCAGTTATCTCTCAGACATTCTGACACTGAGGGTCTGCGTTCCAGTCCAAACTCTGCATCAACCCCAAAGGACAAACTCTCCTTTACTTCTTAGTGACTTGGTTAAAGACTTGAAGCCAAAACCGGACTTGACTTTGACTTCTTCAACTGATTTTGTTTTAAACATTTGGAGACTGAGCCTGAACGTTTCTTCAGGGACTTGTGGTCCACCGTACTCTAACTCTGAGGGACAACCTGACCTCAGTAAATATGATTCTGGGTCAATCCTACAAAAACACAACACTCTCTGCTTCACTGTATTTTTAAGTGATTTGAATTCTGATTTCAAAACATTAGGACTTGCCTCTGACTTCTTCTCTGACTCGACTAAAATTGAATCTTCTTGAGAACACTTCCATCTCAGTGTCAAGTGAATCAACTGTAATGTAAAGCCCATATCAGACTGTGCGTTCACTCCACCTCGAGTCAGTCAGGAACCTCAGGTGACCTCAGCTTTCAACTGCTTCACCATCACTGTGCCTGTTAGCATCAGACCTTCACCTTGACAATACTGAAAGGATACTTACTATAAAGTTATATGAGCCTTTATTGGCCTGGGCAGCGTCTGGGCTTTTAGTCTTAGTCCTCACAGCGTCTGACCAGGAGCCAAATCTGTTTCTGATGCTCAGGAACTCTAGACGTCTCTGGGGGAATAAGTAGATGTTGGAGGAGATGGTGTGGAGGAGGATGAAGACATTTTTGTTAAAACAAATTTCGCACGGGACCTAGCGAAGTGGATGAATACGTCGCCAAGCAGCGGTATACGCGGAAGACGGTTTTGCGTACACTGGATTGTGCTACATTTGCTTTCTTTTATTTGTGTTGTTTTTTTTTTGTGTGAACTTTTTCCTCTTCATTTTGGCTCCCAGGCGTAAGACAGACTATTCTGATGTTTTTATGTCCTAGATTATGATGTTACCACTGTGTTAGCGTAGGTGAGTGACAACGGTTCTTCCGACTTATGATGAAAATCAAATCATGTTGCGCCATAGGAACAGATTTCTGACATAAGTCCAGGACTTCCTGTAATTGAATGCTAGCCATAAATTAGCAAACTTAAACCCGAGATACTAAGAATTAAGCAACAATCCAAAATGCTAACTAGTGAAACATTAGCCATTGATGTGATAATGATAAAACCTTGCTGAATGTGATTATGTCACTTCATACGCACCAACTTTAAAAAATGTTCACCCATAAAAATCTGCTGTGTTTTTTTTAATGGCAGCAGTAACAATGCAGGTGTTTTCTTTCCCCTCACAGCTGCTTATTTCATCATCAGTGATGAAGCAGATTCCGGGTCACCTTGCTCATGAGCACTTTACTGAAGTGGAAACTGCTGGTTCCAATTCTATTAACCACAGCTGCAGTTTCTCTAAATGACCTTCTGAAAAATCTGCACTCACCTCCGATCTGTGAACACCAGCCAATGACAGACGGTGCAGTTACAGCCAGTCAGTTTTCCTTTTCCTTCAAAAGTTATTTTTTCTTCCGAGGTAATTTTTCCTCACTTCCTTTGTTTCAGGTTACGGTTGCAGTGAAAGGACACCAGTGTTTACATGGTAATATTTACATGAATATAATTCTTTGATCAGAATGGAATCAGAATAGATGTGATTTGAGTCAAACTCTGTCTGTGTTTTTGGACATTCAGACGAGATGTGCTGAAAACAGCTGCCGTGATAACCATCAACTCGTCTGTCTACACAGCAGGGTTCAATAAGTAGATGGATGTCAGGGTGCAGACTGGGCAGCGACGGCCAGGGCAGGAGCTGCCACCAACATTTTTGATCAATACAACAACAGCAGTGGCAGAACTGTGTCACACTGAGCCGACGGGTCAATGAAAACAGTACGTCTGACACACGCAGAGAGAGTGAGAAGAAAGTCAGGGGCTTCCTGGAAGTGGTCAAAGATTCTGGTCATGACTCAGCTACAATCTTGTCTCCACTTTTGTGTCAGCAATGACACGTTGAGCTCGGACTTGTTATCGTTATGAAAATACTGTGATCACACAGATGCGTGGGGAGTTTGGTGAGCATCAGTTGGTAGTTATTGGAGATGAAGGCCACCTCTGGGTGACCTCATGACCCCTAGACAAAAACAATCTACAGTGTTTGATTTTTTTCTTCTGCTGTTGTCACGCTCTGCCACATCAGTAACATTAACTACATGCAATAGTAGGAGTAGACCGTACATAAGAACTGGACAGAGTCACTTTTAAATCTTGCTAAATTCCTGGAGTGAGGGCTGAAGATTTTCTGCTGGTTTTGAAATGGAAATTTGATTTTTTTCTTAAATTATAAGCACAAAGAAAGATATGTAAATAGTTTTTTTTTTTCTTAAATTTTAAGCACAAAGAAAGATATGTAAATAGTATTTTTTTTCTTAAATTATAAGAAAGAAAGAAAGATATATAAATAGTTAGTAGGAAGTTGAATGGAGGAAGTTTCAACAACAAAAGCACGTTAACCATTTTCATTAGTAGGAATTTGAATGGAGGAAGTTTTAACAACAAAAGCACGTTAACCATTTTCATTATCGCCTAAACCAAAAAGTTCCTTCATTTGACCTCTATTGCGGTCGTCCAATCACGCGTCTATAAAGTGATTGTGTTGACTGACGTGCTCACTAACGCTTGACCTGTTTACTGATAAGAGACAGTTATGGATATTGAACTTCCATCACAACAGGATGTAGACGTACGGACTGTAGAGACAAAGTCCGAACAAGTGATTTCTAACAACACAGTATCAGTATCTTTATTTTTTTAAAGATTTCTAATAAATATTCTCACCTTGTCCTTAAATATCACCACACACGCATCACACTATAAAGCGCAGAAAGTTGTCATCCAAACAGTAATATATAAAAAATATTTTTTAAAAAGCTGTTGTTTTTTTTTTTTGTTTTTTTTTTTAAGCGGTTGAGCTTTTTACCTCCCCAGTCTTTCCTCCCACCTTTCTCAGTATATTTAGTCACTTTGGCAGGAAGTTGGGTGTAGCAGCGCCGAATGTTGTGTTCAGAATTATTCATCATTAGCAGCTTAGCGAGCATGTGAGTGCTGAACAAATGGTGTCTGTGCAGGCGGTGGTGGAAAAAAGAAAGGAAAGAAGGAGAGAAGTGAATGGAAGAAAGGAAGGCGAGCAAGGGGGGGGGGGTGAGGGGTGGAAGAAGTTGAGAGAGAAAAAAGTGTGTGTGGGAGAGGAAGGTCATGTGATGTTGGGGGGTTACGTTTTTTTGATGTGCTGATGTGGAGATCGACCTGTTACTCTTTAGAGTTTTTGTCACCTTGGCAGAAAAGTGTTTTCATCTGTTTCTTAGTTTCAATTAAAATCAGAAGGAAAATATTGTTGACACTTATTAACCTGTTATCTGTCTGCATTACTGTAATGATAACAGGTAACCCCGACCCTAAATAATATTTATTAATAACATTTTTAAAGACATGGCTCAGGGGCCAAAATGAGGTTCAAAATTTGACTTTCAGTCTGGTTTGGTACTGGATAGATGTAGAATGGTTGAGTGAATTAATATAAATAAAATCTACAAGATTAAACCCTTAAAAGACACTTTGGCATATTGCATGTCTGCCGCCATCTAGTGGCATTAACCCAAATGACAATCAATTTATGAAACAGAAGGAGTTAAATCAGTCTTTACCAGACATGTATCAGAGCTTGGTGGACCGCATTAGAAAGCCCAGAGGACCATATCTGGCCCATGGGCCATCGTTTGGCCATTTCTGTCCTAAAATGCCTCCAGCCGCTGGAAGACACTTTTTCAGTAGACAACGTTCGAGGCACATAAGTTTGACAGGTCAGTTAGTGCCTAAATCCTCAGCTATCTCTGCTGAAGTTGGCTTTATTTTGACATCAACATTTGAACAGACTTCAACAAAGAAACGAGCTGGAAACATCTACCAGCACTCCTGCTAAAAAAAGTCTTTTGTAAAAGTAAAAAAAAAATGTCATGTCAAATGTCCTCTTTGACTCAGACGTGCCTCTATAGGAACATTTCCCAGGCAGGCGATGAAAAGATGGTATGAGGTTCAAAGCAGGTCAGCTGGTCCCTCACTGTGGCCCAGTTCCTCACTTGAAAACCAAAGTTCCTTGTTTTGGGAGAAATGTGTTAATCCCCCACTCTGGGCCTACCCTGGACCCAGGCCAGGCTCTGATCAACAGAAAGGAGCCACAGAAATCAGCTTTTGTTCTCTGGGCATGTCTCTGTGCTCCTGACCTCTGTGAATAACTCTGAGCCTTAGCTTCCAAAAATGGTTGGGAAACGTTGTGTAACAGTTTCCTCTGGAGATACGATACCATAGATGATCTACGCTCAGCGATCTTTGGACTCGTCTCTGTGATGCTGTTTGCCTTTGGTGGGTTTTTTTATTGGACTCGCTTTGTGATAAATAGAAAAGCGGAAGGAACCAGCCCTGCGTGGGCCTCTGTAAACCTGATTTGTGTGTGTGAGTGTGAGTGTGTGCGTATTGAGCTGCAGGATTTGGAATCAGAGCACATGATGTGGGCAGTCAGATGAGGAGAGCTACACCTTACATAATGAAACCTCCTCAGTCGGTCAGTAAATAGCACCAACTGAGGGAAGGATGTGGAGCTGAAGTGCTCTTTGCTGCGGCTGTGTCTAATTTAATCTGACTGATGTCAATGAACTGTTTCATTACCTCCAACTCAATTCAAGTTTGGCTTCACACCATCTGAATAACATGATTACAGAGGTGCCAGCTGATGAATGATGCTTAAACCAACACATGGGTCGGGGTTTCCTTCTCTCAGATCATGAGGGAAACTGAAAGGATTCTCATCTGGGCCGTCGTGGTTTAAACGGTTAGCATTGCTAGGATCGTGTGACGACCAGCCAAGGAATTCTTGACTTAACGATAGTGTTGATAGAATGTGCAGTAGAGATGCATATTAAATTATTCTGGTGAATCCCTGAATAAGTTGTACAAAGATACTGTTTTGTATTTGTTGTGGCAGAGAAAAGAAATCAGTTTTGTAATTCTACTGCTACATGCTACGTTAGCATGTGTGAAGCCTAAACAAACAACATAGTGCACGATTGTGAGTAAAACTGAAACGTTCATTCATTTCAATTTAAGTCCCAGTGCTAGCCATCGGAGGACAGACAACTAGCTACCAACATTTTGACGTCCAAATTCTAGCCATCGGAGAACAGACAACTAGCTACCAACATTTTGACAATAGACGAGTACTGCTTTGTTTGTGTCATCAGCATGAGTGATGCTAACAACTCAACTAAGGTTTTATTTTTTTTAGATCAGGACTAAAACGCCTCTCATTCATTCTCACACAGCTGTCACTGAAGTGCATTGTGGGTCCATTTTGCTCGTGTTCTGTGACGACAAGCTGAGAAAAAAATGCTGATTTTGCAATGGTCGGACAAGAAAAAACAAAACGTGCTGACTGAAATGTCAGCCAAATATAGACCAGTAATTGAGCTACGTGTTACGTTAGCTAAAGTCACTCCAAATAGAGGTCATTTCTAGGAACATGGACATGGATTTCTGGGAAAAGACTGGCCTTACGGTCTAATGTGGTCCACGTCTGTACATAGATCAGTTCTAACCTCACTGTCCTCTCCTGTTCTCTCTTCAGATCTCCATCTCTCAAACAGAAAACCTGAGGAGTCATGGTAACCTTGGAAACCCTGGAGGCTCCTGTGCCCCTGACGGCACTGTCACGTTGGTACCTCTACGCCATTCATGGCTACTTCTGTGAAGTCATGTTCACCGCCACCTGGGAGTTTGTGGTGAACCGCAACTGGAAGTTCCCCGGCGTGACCAGCGTGTGGGCGCTCTTCATCTACGGCACCTGCATCCTCATCGTGGAGCGCATGTACCTGAAGCTGCGCGGCAGCTGCTCCGTGCTGCTCCGCTGCATCATCTACACCTTATGGACCTACCTTTGGGAGTTTGGCACGGGGCTGCTGCTGCGTCAGTTCAACGCCTGCCCCTGGGACTACTCCGAGTTCCGCTACAACTTCATGGGATTGATCACGGCCGAGTACGCCGTGCCCTGGTTCTGCGCCTCCTTCATTGTAGAGCACCTGGTCATCCGCAAAACGTTGCGCCTTCGATTCCACGAGGGGCCTGAGGACGTGTGGTCAGACCATCAGTTGGATACCAGTGGTGGTGGAGGGGCAACTGGAGGAGGAGCAAGAGGGGGATTAGGAAGTGGGAGGAGGAGAGAGAGAAGCAGAGGGACAGGAAGTAGCACCAATGGCTACCTGAAAGCAGAATGAACCAAGAAATGAAGAACCCGGTCTGAGAGAACATCTCAGTGGCTCTGCTACACCTTCTCTGTGCTTCCACCTTGATAAGCTGTCCTCCCCGCTCTGGGGGAAACACTGTACTAACAGACAGCTGTGCAGACTGGGTTGGTGTGGAGAGGAGTTCAGACTGAAGCTAAAAATACCCCACACCTACTGTAACTGGGACCTTTGATGCCCACATCTCCAACTGTTGTCCTCTGATGTCAACAGAGGCACGATACCTCCATGCTCCTGCGTTTGCTGCATCTCACAACACACTCAACCATCTCCACGTGGGCGCCACCTGGTGGTGATCCAGGTGGTCAGCGACCTGGACTACTTCCTCGGCCTACGCTGTCCCACAGACTGCATCCAATGTGGGATCCTCAGAGATATTGTCATGACTACTGAATAGAAGAAAATAAAAATAGAACATTGATTTGGTTTAGAAGCCATATCCTACGTTAGCTGCTGTAGAGGCGCATAGACTGTATGAGAAATGGATGGAGCCTTTTAGTTCAGAAAAGGAAAGGTGCAGGAGGTAGCCTCCAGGGCGGCCAATTTCCTTTTTGCAAGAAAATGTTAAAATTAGTTTTTCTTTTTTTTCATTAGTCAGCATTTTGTTGATGACTTTTTTGCAAGAAAACGTTGAAATGAGTTTACCTTCTTTCATTAGTCAGCATTTTGTTGATGACCTCATAGTCTCAATGACTTCTAACTAGAGTTCAACTGAAGGTCAAACAAAGTCTTACATTATGATGATGACACTGATGAACATCTTCTGTTTTTTTTTTCTCCATCTTGCCACCTAAAATAGCAAAAGGTGTTCAATATAGAAAAAAGTTGGTTCCTGGAATTGTTTCGTTCCTCGTACACCGGTTCTATGTCAGTAGAGATTGTAGCTAGGCTTCATAAAATCAAAGGTAGCCAACTGAATTTTCTCCACTGTGTTTGTTGTGTGTTTAACATCTTAAAACAAAAACTACAAAAGGAAAGAAGTCTTCTTAAAATTTCTCCAATAGAGGGACCATTTACCAGATTTGTTAATTTGTTTTGTTTTGTTTTTTTTTCATCATGAACAATTCGATGTTACTGTTTGAAAAGGAAATGTTTAGTAGCCAGGGGAGCGCACTGACTTTCAGCGATGAATTCAATGAGAACTTAGCTTAGTTGAAAATATGATGGTTAAAACAACAACAACAACAACAACAGCGCCGCCTTAGCTTAGTTGAAAATATGATGTTTAAAACAACAACAACAACAAAAAAAAAAATCAAAATGCAACATTTTCATTTGCAAACAATGGACAATGAAACTACACGTGCCTGACAGACTGACAGTGTTGTAAACTCGCTATGCTAGTAGCTCCAGAACAGCAGACTACATCCATTTTTTATACACGGTCTATGGTTTGTATGTTGTCATTACTAAAATGTACATAAGTAATATTCAAAGTACTGTAGTGGAGCGACTGTGACAGACTGGTGAAGGTGGTATCGTCCACCATGAAGCAACGAGCTAGCGCTTGTCACAGTGAATGTTTTCCGCAGTGACTAATTACCCATAATGCCTGAGATATTGCATGAATATATACTGTCTTCCACCAACATGAACGTTTTAACCACTTCATTCTCCAGTCACTCTGTACATTCCTGGGTTTAATCTGCGAGCAGGTACAGTAGAACTTTTCACAATGTTCTCCTGGCAGGTCGGCGTTTTTGTTGCGGCCGTTGACACACGACAGCCTCTCAACATCAACATCATCCGGTTCTTTGTTGGTAACAGCAGGGACGCCTTTTAGTTCATGAGAGCAATTATGATTCATCTGCACAAATCACGACGGCTCCTGCTAATGTCTCTATTTTTACACTTTATTTTCCAAAGTCTTTTCATGACTGTGTCTCATTATTATTATTATTATTATTATTATTATTATTATTATTATTATTCACTTGATGTGTGTCTCAGACCTGCTGGTGGCTCACACTGATCGATAGTTCTTTTCAGTTCTTTTAATTACCCACAATTCACCTGACAGACTTATTTGTCTTTCAGGTGTCTTGAAAAGCAAACCACTGCTAATAAAAACGGCATTTGTTCTTTGTCACAGTAATAGACGAATCAGAGACCTTCTTTCGTCTTTTAACATGGGCTTTTTTCGCCACGTGATTAACTATTCGAACAACTTCCAGACACCTCTATGTTTTTACCTGTCTTGAAAAAAATTACAGTATTTTAGAGTTTATTCAAAGCTTTGTGAGCAGAATTGATTGAAGGTTTTATGGTGATTTACAGGACTTTGACCCAGGGTTGGACTCAAGTAGCACAGCAGGCTGTTTTTAAAGATGTAAACAATCCATAACAGCAACTGTTTGACCTAGAAGACATTTATATTTGTAGCTGTACCCAGCCACTGTGGCAATATGGGCCACATCTGGGTTCATCTGGACCACATATGATTGTCATTGGACTGTGGATCTGCGTCCATGTACCTACAAATGCAGGCAAGGTATGAATGAATTTACTGTATCTAGATTTTTAAAATTTAGGCAAAAAAGAAAGGGACCAAAAATAGATCTGGAAACTATTTTCATGCAAATATGATTCATGTGGTGATACAGATTATTACTGATGAGAAATTCTTTCAGTTTTCAAAAAAGAATTGAGCTTTTTTTGTTGAACCAACGCGATCTAAATCCGTCTTTCAGAGGTTTGACCTTCATCGGTGTGACTGCAATGCCATGCGGTGTTTTCATCTCCTCCTTCCCAGGAAGCTCACACGCTGGACGGACGGTAGCAGCTATGGGCAAATTACATAGTCAGTGCTGCCATCTAGCGGACTTTTCCTAAAACAGCAAATGCACGCATACGAATAAAGGTCAAATAGCAGGATCCTCTTTTGTTTCCTTTACGCATTTGTAATGTTTGTAACATCACATCTTTCTTAAGGTTTTCATCGACTTCTCACTTTGAATTCCAGATTATGATGAATTATGTGCAACTAAAATCTAAACCCAGTCCTACTGCTCAAGACTAAAGATGCAAAAATAAGTAGTTCTGTTCTCTGGGATAGCAAATGTTTGAGTCAAAAGTGAGGATGTGCCCAGGGTGTTGCATATGTGCATGTCTGTAACAGTAAACTGAACTGAATCTCAGTATTTTTTTACACTAAGAGGCTGCATGAACAGAATATTTCTGCTTTCCTTCTAACCTCGGACGTCATTCTAGTAGATTTTTTTCTCTGTCCCTCAATTAATAAGCACTATTTTCTTTTTATCAGAAATTGACCAGTTTGTAGTGAAACACTCGTACTGTATTTCACTCATTTTGATTGTTGCTCATGTATGGTTTCCTGGACAATTGTTGATTAAATGTGTTTATTTGATCATAAAAGTTGTGTCTTTTTGTCAAAGGATATCAAACTAAAAATGTTTGTTGTGGAAAAAGACAGAAGTGCAAAACAACATAGTGCAAAATATAAAAAAGACCAAAGACTGGCAAACAAAAAAAACAAAAAAAACAAAACAAAACAAAACAAAAACAACAACAGCAGAGGGTTTGTGACCAGTTATGTTAGTTAAATGTTATTAGAATAAATACAAAACCTTGGGGAAAATAATACATATTGAACAGCAACATTTCCACCTGTTACATAGATCCAAATTTCGTTTGCCTTTGTATCAATTGGAATTAACAATCTGTTGGATTTAGCAATCAAACGGTGCAAAAAATGGAAAAACTCTCCTCAAACTAATTTAAACTAAAGCAAAAAAAAGTTTTGTAGTTTTACTTTAAAAATGAAAAAATTGTCATCATTCCTGATTTTTTGCACCTGTGACTTTCCTCTTGTCAGTGGCTGCTTTAAAATGACACCACACAACACATTTGTTATTGACCTGAATTAATTCCAAAAACAACAAAAGTGCCGACAGCAGGTCAACAGGACTCACCCTGGATCCCAACAGCACCTTTCCAACAATGGTGAGTAATTTTTAAGTAACTTTTTGGAGTCTTTAAATGTAAAACAAATTGTAGCTAATTAACCTAGCTTCTCAACTAGCAGTGTTCAGCTAATGACACAAAACTAGACCTTAAATGAAGCTGTGGCTAGCTAAATCTAGTTTAAATCTGGTTTAGATAAATCCACCCAAACCTCATCAAAACTATCAGCTTAGTGTCGTCCTTTAAAAGTATTATTTCATTTCTTTAAATACACTTCAGCCTAAGGGCAGAACAGCCAGCTAGCTACGTTTGCTACCTAGCATCATAGTAATGTAGAATGTATAGTTTAGATTTAGACTGAAATACCTAGACGTAGCTGAAACATTAGCTCAGTCCTATAAACACACTACCAGCTGAGGCTTAAACGGCCTACATACTGTATGTTATGTGACAACATGTTACTGTATGTTACGATAATCATTCAGCCCAGTGACCTGGTTTACTTTTATCTGTGCCTTCAGGATGTTGGAATAAGGTGAACAAGCCTGTTTAGGTTTTAGATGTGTTTACACCTGTCTTGTTTAGTCCGGTTCAACCAAACCCTGGAATGTTTATGGTCCTGTCTCCAGTTTGTTTGGGTTTAGGTGTGAAAACTCGGTGTGAAGCAGGGAAACTCTGAAAAAGGTAGAAAATATCAAGGTGAATGAAAGTATTAAGGAGAATGGCTCCGTTTCTCCATCCACATAAAACAGGAAGTCTGGAGATAGTTAGTGTTTATTTTTTAATAAAATAAATTCATAATTTGGTGACTTTGTGAAATTTTCTGGGTTTTTCTTTTAGGAGATATTGGAGGAATCCAGGCAAAGTAGACTGAACGGTAGGACATTGTTTATTTCCTGACTTTCACGAGACCTGTGCATATTGTTTACATGTGCATTTGGACACTTGTTCAGTCTGGAATTGTGAACATTTCCAAAAGTTTATCCAAACAAGAAACAATCAAAATAAATTTGGTTACTTTAATTTTATTAAATTGTAATTTATTTTCTCACATTGAAAAAAAAGAGGAATCCCCTGCAATGCTTGCTTCGATCCTCTGGGGGTCACCATTTCAATGTAAGATTCAATGTAAACATAATTACTGGGCTGCCAATTTTTGACAACTTTTTTTTAAAAATTCTTTTAAAATTATTTTTCAATATAATGTATTAGATACTGTAATACAATTTTTTAATCTTTGTTTTAAAAATGATTTTACTGCTAAACTTCCCACCGGGGAGTGGCCTCTAGTTTATGTGAAGACATCCATTTCAAAATTCACACAAATTGCATTTTTATGGAAAAATATGAGAAACCTTCTTTGCACTATTTATTGATTGATACTGAAACGATCACATCATAAATGTCGCCCTTTGATACTGCAGTACACCATCTGTGCCACTTGGTGTCTCTTTTTCACCATGAAAG